CTATCATTTCTAATCACTTGTAATCTACCTGCTTGGCTGCCCTCCAATCAGATAGCTTCAATTATGTGGTTGTAATGCAGCTCCGAGGAGAAAGGGCTGAGCCTGGCACTTTCCTGCTGGGAAGGAGTGTGGGAAGGAGTGGCTGAGACCCAGCGGCCAGGCCCAGAACCCAGCCTGCCCGCCCCAATCTGTGCGCCCCGGTGCTGCTCCCGGTGCCCACCCCACCTCTGCGCTGGGCCTCCGGGGTCATCCAGCGTCCCTGCTGGCTCTGCCCCAGTGCTGGCTGCCTGGGCTGGGCAAGGGGCCAGCAGCTCCAAGCTGCCCAGGAGCAGCGCAGCCCTGTCAGCTCCCAGTGGGTACACCCTCCACCAGGCTCTCAGCCCTCCCCCCGAATCCAGCCGGACTCCCACGGTGCTGCGTGGATACAAATATCGCCCTCCCTCCCCGTGTGGGCGGCATCAGCCAAGCTCTCTGGAGAGACAGCCCACCCAGCTAGGGGCCCGACCCTGGTCTGGGCCGGCCAGGGCCCTTCCTTCCTGCTCCGAGTGCTGCCCAGCCCGAGTCTTCTCGAAGCCATCAGACTCCTCCCCGCCCTGCCGTGCTGGGTGCGGTGTCTCCCCCAGACACCCCCAGGGTTTCTGCAGATGGAAAGAGCCAGGCTCATGGCCTCAGACCTGGGAGCCAACTGTGCTTTCCGCTGCTTCTGATGCGCAAACCCATGACCTGCGCGCCCTGAAAAGGTGGGTGGAGCCAGGGGGCTTGCTGCAAACGCCATGAATGTGCCACTAGCTGCTGGTCCCTTTCTGATGGACTGCGGTGGTCAGGGGGCCTCTGGTCAGGCTCATGACCTCACAGATGGTGAGCCTGGATTCGCCCGGATATGCCCAGGAAGTGGCACTGTTAGGAGACCAGATGATCAGAGTGGGGCCAACAGCTGATGCCTGTGCGGCAGAAAGAGCCAAGGCCTTCTGGACACCAGGCCCAGGCGCAGCCTGACCGCGACGTGGCAAGTCTGCCTTCGCTCAGCAGATATCTGTTGGCACCTGCTGTGCACCAGGCACTGGACAGCACTGAATACACAGGAGCGGTGACCGGCCCTGCCCCATGATGGCCATTGCGTCTGGCCAGCCAAAGACATAAAATTGAGGGTGTCAATCGTGGCCTCTGTGGTTGTGAGAGTCCGTGGGATCTGAGGGGACCCCAGAGTCCCTGAAAGAAGTCCCCACAGAGAGCGGTGAGAGGCTCCCAGGGACAGCGCCCATCCTAGGGGGCGGCAGCCTGACCTCCCTTCCTTCAGCTCAGGTCTCCAAGTCTTGTTCAGGGTCCTGTCTGGGGACCGGGAGGATAGGCCGTGCTTCCCCAGCCCCTGGGCGGAATGAGCAATGCAGGTGGAAATCACTGGCTAGCAGGCGACCCAGAGCTGTCGGCGAGGCCTTGGCCCCCGCCTTGGGCGTGAGCACTCTGGCCCTGAGTATTCCAGTGGAGCCTTCCACCTCGGGCGGAGCCGGAGAGGGTGACCCACACCCGTCCTGCTCTGAGAGTCCAGGAGCCGCCACCTCCTCCAGAGAAGCTACTGGCGCTGCCACCTGGAAGCTGAGCACCTGCGCACTGGTCGGCTGTCCTGTCATCCTCAGTGCTGCTCCACCAGCTCACCCAGCCTCCGTGGGCCTACCCCAGGCAGCCCGTGTTCGGATTGGGGATGCCAGGGCGCAGGCCGTGCGAGCCCCTGGCTTTTGTCCAGACTGGCCTCTCCTGTGTGTGGATCCCCTTGTCACCTACATTCTTCTGGCAAAAGGCAACGTGGGGCACACAGAGTGCGGCGGCCCCTAAGACCTGGAAGGTGGTGTCATTCAAACAGAGCCCATGGTGGACACCCAGCTCTGCCTGAGGAGGGGTTGCCCAGTGCCCCCAGGTTAGAACAAGACATCACGAATGGACGGCTGGAGGCCACAGGCAGAACACGCTTCCTCCAAGGCCACCCCGCTGCCCACAGGGTGAGCCGTGTCGGGCAAGTGGCCGGTGGCCATCACGCAAGTTCCCAGGAGGCTTTGAGGGGGTGGGGTGAGGGGAGACAGGGCTGCAGAGAAAGGAATTGGCAAGACTGCATCTTGTCTCACGCCAGCAAACCTTGGCTGCATCCCAGCACTGGGGTCCTCGTCTGCTACCTGAGAGCCCCTGGGCCCACGGCCCCTGCCCAGGGCCCTCTTGGCCTCTCCCTTTGCTGGGCTTGGGGTGGCCTGGGCAGAGGGGGCTTCAGGCTCCTCAGAGGGTAGGAAGGGCATCCACGCCTGGCCGAGCAGGCCAGCTCCTGGCCTTGGAGGGGGGAGGGTGTGTGTGGAGGGGGGAATGGCTAAGGGGACACAGCGATGGGGAGGCGCAGAAGCAAAGCCAGCGAGACTGGCTGTGGGAAGGAAGGGGTGTCGTGGTGGTGTTTCCTGTTTCGTGCATTTAGGCACTGAAGCAAAGAGTGCTTTTAAAACGGGGAGCCCCTGGCGAAGGAGCACAGGCTGCCTGGGCAGCCATGATAAATGGCGGGAAGGTCTCGCCTCCCCTCGGGCAGCCAGTGCCATTACACTCTGGGGTTGCTCAGCACATCTTACAACTTTACAGCCATTGAGCCCATTTATCTGCCTGTGTGTGCAGCTGCTCGGGGCCAGGGCTCCTTCGTTCCTGGTGTCCTGGCCCCACGTGAGCCTCA